AAAAAAAAAAAAATCAGCTCACGGGTCCTGAAAAGGTAGGTCTAGAATTCTTCTTTTTGCCCTTTTTTTGTTGCCCAAGGGAGGGGTCAGGACCAATGACCTCCCTCCCCCAGATCCGCCAATATGAATTGCAAGAAAATGTAACTCGGTCGGGTACTGGATAAACTGCTGATGTATGTCCATAACCAATAATTCGTTAGGAGCATCCCCGCCTCCAGGGTCTTGTATGGCCGTCTCTGAGCTACCAAATTCCTGTAGAACTACAGATGTTGGATTTTGCAACAATTCCTCTGATCTTTCTAATGTATATATGTCCGTAACCAATAATTCGTTAAGAGCATCCCCGCCTCCAGGGTCTTGTATGGCCGTCTCTGAACTACCAAATTCCTGTAGAACTACAGATGCTGGATTTTGCAACAATTCCTCTGATCTTTCTAATGTATATATGTCCGTAACCAATAATTCGTTAAGAGCATCCCCGCCTCCAGGGTCTTGTATGGCCGTCTCTGAACTACCAAATTCCTGTAGAACTACAGATGCTGGATTTTTCAACAATTCCTTTGATACTTCTAATACGTATATGCCCATGACAAATAATTCGTTAAGAGCATCCCCGCCTCCAGGGTCTTGTATGACCGTCTCTGAGCTACCAAATTCCTGTAGGACTACGGATGCTGGATTTTGCAATAATTCCTCTGATCTTTCTAATACATATATTATGCCCATGACCAATAATTCATTAAGAGCATCCCCGCCTCCTGAGTCTTGTATGACCGTCTCTGAGCTACCAAATTCCTGTAGGACTACAGATGTTGGATATTGCAAGAATTCCTCTGATCTTTCTAATACATATATGCCCATGACCAATGATTCGTTAAGACCATCCCTGCCTCCAGGGTCTTGTATGGCCGTCTCTGAGCTACCAAATTCATGTAGGACTACAGATGCTGGATTTTGCAACAATTCCCCTGATCGTTCTAATAAATGTATGCCCGTAACCAATAATTCGTTAAGAGCATCACCGCCTCCAGGGTCTTGTATGGTCGACTCTGAACTACCAATTGCATGTAGGCCTATGAAAGGAATTACAAAATGCCTGGATAATTCGCCGTACGTAGGGCAGTATAGTTATCAAAGTATTGAAGGCGATAAGCATGAAAATGAATACGAACTTAAAATATTTAAATCGTAGTTTATGATGCAATATATGACGAAATTAAGATGCAACAATATATATATATATA